AATATATCTTTACTGATTTCAGAGAGAGGAAGGGAGAGGGGGAGAGAGAGATAGAAACATCAATGATGAGAGAGTCATTGATCAGCTGCCTCCTGCACACCCCCTACTGGGGATCGAGCCTGCAACCCCGGGCATATGCCCTGACCGGGAATCCAACCAAGATCTCCTGGATCCTAGGTCGATGCTCAACCACTGAGCCATGTTGGCCAGGCTGAAATCTTAAAAAGCCATCCCCGGATGAATTTAATCAATTAGCTAATTCATTTACAGTTCAAGGCAATATTTTGCCCCTAAGCCCTTGCCTACAACTTCATAGTTAGATGCAGATCCCCAATCTAACTTGAAGCCCATACGGTCTCAGATGGAAGACTATCTAGTTGAACAAAGAAAGTCGGAGTCTAATCTCCCCGAGGATAAAGCTTTCACCATGGGAAGCACAACATTCCTGACAGCTCCCAGTGAGCAGGGCTGTGCTGAGACACTGAGCTCTAAATGTCATCTGGGCTGCTGTTCTCACAATCGGAAAAATGTGGAAACTCACGCCTGGAAGGGTCCTCGGAGGGCTTCTTGCCCGACTCCATAGCACATGTCTCAGTCCCATTAATAACACCATTAACAGGTACTTATTACCTCTGCTTAAATGAAATGAAGTGTTCTTAATGGACAAAGATGATCGTCAACCCAACAGTAGGGTGTATGGTTGTGATTGGGACAGAGTTTTCATACTCTTCTTATTTGTATGACAGGTACACACTGGCAGGAATATTGGGTAAGAATAGTGATAAAAATAGCTGCTTTTTAAATTAAGCATAAATTATGTGTACGTCCTATACCATAGAGTGTTTTGCATTTGCAAATGGGAGAGGTTGTTCATGGCCCTCATGGCCATGGAAACCATGACCTTGACCTTGCTGCCATAATGCTGCAACCTAGAAATTTGCAATCTGAGCTGGTGGAGCCCTGGAACTTTAGTGTGTGGTCACACCTCCACATCATCTAAGGCAGTTTTTGGGTCTATGTTGATTTCTAATTTTATATAGATAAACGGTTCCACTGGGGTAAAAAAATCTGACCATCTCCACTTTCATGACTGAAAGCAAATACTTATGTTAGTGATTTTTTGAATGATTTATTGAATTGGAGAGCATACTATTTGGCATTACCTCACAGGTCTGGGTGTAGTTGACTGGTACTCCAGTGACTACTTATTTCCTCTTAGAAAACAGTTCACCTACCGTAAAGTTGAGTGTTTTGACTTTTGATTAACTGGCTACATTTATCCAAAGTATGGCTGAGCAAAAAAGCATAGATTAACAAACATTCCTGATAATTATATTTCTACTTTTACTTTTAAACAAATTTATGTAGAAGTATTACACTCAACATGGTACTAAAAATCCATTTCTATTGTACATACTACATTAACTATATAAACTGCATTAATAATGCATAAAATAGGTCTGAGGAAAGTGGAGAAAATGGGCGACTACAGCTTAAGTGGTATCCTTCATAGCAAATCAAATATCTAGTAGATTTGAATCATTTCGCTCAAAAAAGATCTCAACAATGAAACTAAGTTCTAAAAAAGTTAAATCTAATTACAAAAGTAACATTCACATTGGATTTTGAAGCACATAAACTGTCCGCACAGTTTCTTATAACTTGAGGCCGGAAGCCTGTGGGACCCAAGGTTGGCACCTGGAGAGGCTGGTGGCCTTCTCTCTAGACCCCAAACACTAGAAGTAATTTGTAGAGAGAAAGATAGATAATCTCAACTCATTAGGGTCCAGAAAGAAGGTACTGTCTTATGGCAAGAGGGTCTAAGTTTCCAAAGGTTCCTTTAGATAGGAGATGTAAGCTCACCAGGAAGAAAGGGTGAAGGTGCCTGGGTCCGCATTTGAGAATGTGGCTGATAGCAGTGCGAGTCTTTTCTGGGGTGAGTTAATGACAGGTATTCATAATAAAACAGGAAGGTGCTTGTATCAGCATTAGCCAAACCAGCCCTTGCTGCAGAAAGTGCAAGCTTTTGGGTCCACTCTTTATTAATGATACCATACAAGGGCCAATATTAGAGGCAGATATTTTTATCAGATACTGAAAAAGTCCCTTGGCCCAGGTAGTGGTCCATGAACAGCCCTATGTTAACCTCCAGACAAATCTATTTGATTAATGATGAAATGGAGATATCCCTCTTGTGTCTGCCATCAAGGAGGGTTGGGTAGTCTGTCATCAGAGGGTATGGGACCCAATAATTAATTTTCATTAATTAAATCATGTTTGCATGCAGATTAGAGGGTAAGGTTTTTCCTGACACCTCATATGTCTCTGTACCCCTGTGCAAGCCCACTCACAACTAATTCACTTCTGGGCATGCCTCTTCCATAGCAAAGAAATGTGAAATGTACCGTGGGGAGTACAGTGTCCCTGCACTCACCAGAGTGTCCCGTGGGAGCCAATCTGGCTTCCAGAACCCCTTATTGTTGAGAGTTATTTAGTAGACCTTCCTGGATTTGGGTTTATTTCTGAGATCTCTGGAGTACAACAAACTTTGGGCTTGCTACCTGCAATTTCTGTCTCAGGAAGGCAGCATCTCTTCTCTATAGGAAGAAGTCTTGGTGCATCAAAAGGAAAAAAGCCTGGTGTCCTGGGCTTTGTTTGTTTTCAGCATGGTGATCCAACAGAGTTTTACATAATCAGTTTTCACTATAATCCACCCTTCGTGAGCATCCCTCCTGCAGCCAACAGCTTCTGTTCTTTCTCTTCTGCCTTGTAAGCTTTCTGAGTCAGGCGCTTGAACAGTCTTAGTTTTCTACTGATGGAGATCGTTAAGAATCTCTGCTGCCAGCTGCAAGATTTTGCATTTATTTTCAACCAGAGTTTGGTTGCAAACAGGAAAAAAAGGAATCGTTTTCCAAACTTTTTTCCCCCAGCTGAAGTCTTGCTGACACCTCATTATTGGGGTTGGAATGTTACTGACGCTGTCTTCAACTCTTGGTAATGTGGATTTCGCTACCATCTAACTTCCCTGACATTTCATCTTCTTACTATGGTAATCTGCCAACTAACATTTTATTTTTAAAATAATCCTGTCCATTTCTTTCCTGAGGTTTTTCTCCTCTGATGCAAAGATCAAGATCAAGTCATTTTCAGCTGCATAATGTATTTATTCAGAATGTCAACTCTATTATTTTTCTAAGCCACAGCTTCTGAGACATGAGATCCTTTCTGATTTGCTCACTAATCTCAGTAGGTAGTGCTGGGAGGGCAGGAACAGAAGGAAACCATAGCCTTCTCTTCACTCCAGGCTCCTGTGTGCCCTCCAACTGCCCCCCTTCTTTCAGCTCCTTCCATCTCTTTCCCTCACTCACCTGTGTTTTTACAACTTAAATTCACAGAAGATCTTGGTTTTCAGATTTGTGGCAGAGCTTCTATCAAACTTTCTACACTTTTATTGCTTTGGGCTTCCTACCTTCTTCCCTGCCTTCTCCAGATCTTGTTCCAGGTGCTAACAGATTCTGCCCAAACCAACACCACTTGGACTCATTTAGGTTCTCACTGTCAGGTGACTATGAATGGCCCCTGATAGGGCTGCTGACCCACAGCCAGGTGCATTCTGACCCCAGGCCTCTCCGATCCTGGTTTTCTTCACTTCCCCCAGTGGCCTGGTGCCAAGGTGCCATTATGCCCTGCAGGCGTGTTCACCTGCATTAGGATGGTTGTATCATTGTGGAACCTACCTCCTGAACTTGCTTTCACCTACATTTTTAATTTTCTGTTACTTGCATTGCCTCAAATCTCCAAAGTTCTCAGTCAAATTCTCGAACCCAGTGTCTCATGTGATACCTTCTGTTTTGTCTGGTGTAAGTTTCCTTGTGGAGAGCTCTTGGGGTCCTAATAATAGAATAACTGGAGTTCAAAGGAAGAGCTGGTAGCATTGATCACCAAAGTTTTTCTTTCTTCCTTGAAAAGCTTCCTCTCTGGACTCTCAGGTGTAAGGGGCCAAAACAAAGAAAATGCATATTCAAAGCATGGAGATGAAAGGGCTGAGAGTGTCCAGAGCTCTTTCTTTGTTTATGTACCTACTCTTGCCAATCATGTGACCAGGAGGCACGAAGTCCTAGGATTTGCCCAGCTTCAGATGCTCACCTGCCCCTTTTGTCAAGGGACAGTATCTATATCTGAAGAAGGTGGGGAGGCCAGTGGAGAATTTGCAGGTAAAGGCACTGAGAAGATGATATAGAATTCTAGTTTGACTGGTTTTATTACCCCCAACAGCATTTTGAAGATGTCACCCCATTGTTTCCTGACCTCTTTAATTGCCAGTGAGAAATCTGCCGTCATTCTACTTGCCTTCCATTGTAAGTAAATTGTATTTTCCCTTTGGTTGTTTAAAATTTTTTTTCTTTGGCTTTGCTATTCTAAAATGTAATTATGATGTTACTAAGTATGGACTTACCTTTATTTATTTTGCTTAGGACTCAAGTTTCTTCAATATGAAGATATATATCTTTCTTCAGGGATGTGCAAAAAAAGATATTGTACAACCACTATAATGGCAAAAGTTAAAAATTTTCAAGTGTTGGCAAGGATGTGGGAAAAATTATCATAAGCTACCAATGAGGATTTATAAATGACTGCAACACCTTTCGGGTAAAGTCTGTGGATACTAGCAAAGCAGGATATTGTATAACCTATGATCAAGCAAATATGATTTTAAACACCCATCCTAGGGAAAACGTGCATTTATAGAAAAAGGAGATACATATAAATGTGTTCAATGAAGTATGGTTTGCCATTGGGAAAAAAGAGAGAGAGAGGAAGAAATTAATCAAAATGTCCACCAATAAGAGAATGAGTGAATCAATAATAGTATAAATAAATAAAATCCTAAACAGTAGTTAAAACAAGTGAATCAGATATGCCCATACCAAATAGATAATTTGGAAAACAAAATGAAAAGTATAAAAGCAAGTAGTAGATGGTAAGTGCAATGTGAAGCCCTATGCAAAAATTTGAACAACCCACAATACTATAATTTCCAAATAAGTGGAAACCATAAGATCTCACACTTTCTGTACAATGCAGTACAATTTAAAAAAATGACAACAAAGTAAAGGGTTATCCAAGAAATATCTATCCTCTTGGAAATCAAAAAGAGGATTTGAAATAATTCCTGGTTTGTAGAAATAATAGAAATTAAAAGCTATGTAGAAATGGTCAACAATATTAGCCAGACACAAATGTTTTTGGAGAGAGAAGTGGGTGACTAATGATAAACCCAGGGTCTCTCCAAGGTTCCAAGTCTTAGAAAACAAACACATCTGTCCTGAGTCAATTTTAGATCTGGATTATATTGTAACTCCTGCGGGTTTCTGACATGGGGAAAAGGGGGAATAATTAGAATACTCCCTCCCTCCCAACCTTCCTTTAGTAATAAGTAGAAAAACACAGTAGAAGATAATAGAATGTTGTAGAATGTGGAGGGATGTTAGGTAGAGCAAAAGGGGGCATCCAGAGCAGTCTTCTGCTGGGAGCCGGGGCAGGGCAGCCAAGCACTGGCAGATGCCTGAAGCTCTACCAAGGCATGGCTCGGTGCCCTTGAGTGAGCACAGCCAGGTCCAGCCAAGTTTAAGGGGCAAGAATATGGGGGCAATGCCAGAGGAAGTCCTGTTCAAGGTGTGGGACTGGGGTAAGAAGTGACAGAGAGTAGGAAGGAAGCGTAGTAGACTCACATGAGATAAAGCTCAGAACCCCCACCACCCTGGAGAGAGGAATCATGCCAAGTTTTGTCTCAAGGCAGCTGGAGGGTGAAGCCTGAGTGTTTGGCTTCCTCATTCAGGGAGAGACCATCATTCTCTGTGGAAGTAGCAATAAAAAGGCAGGGGAATTCAACTCCACAGAGCCTTCAGGTAGAAATGGTTCTCCTGCCTAAATTAAGGTGCTAAATGAACAACAAAATGAGAACCTCTATTATGAACATTTTCCAATAATGAGTTATCTGAGGCCATTACATTCCTGGGTTAACACCAGGGGTGCCATGACAGACCACTAGAAAGAAGACATTAGTGGGACAGCCCCACTTAGACCCAATAGGAAACTTAATATTTCTTCAGTCCGTTTTAGATTTTGGCAAAGCCAGACCCCATACCCAGGCTTGCTAGGTTCTGTCCTCCATAGCATCTAGAAGGCACACAGTCACTACAAAATTGGGGAGGAGAGAGCATAGTATATAATAATTCCTGTTAAAAAATTGGATGTCAGCACACAAATGTTAATAACTAGAAATTACTGAATTCTCTCTGTCTGTTGTGGAAATAAAACCCTCTGGAAACTGGTAGATAACTAAATGTAATGTGCCTTGGATATTATAACGAAAATGTACTACAATCTAATTGTATTTTTTTTCTTTTAAGGGTTAGTTCTGGGGAGCATTATACAGTGACTATTGCAGAAATTATATCAAGCTCCAAAAGCTATTCTTTGTAGACTTCTTGAGTGGGCACTCTCAACCATAATGTTTGGCATATTACTCTGATAATTCTGGATGTTATGTTCTGACATTTTGACTCGTTTTTGGGAAAACTGAGGTGTGTGCCCAGAGTTGTTCTGTAAATGTTTAACAACTGGCTCTCTGGGTGACGAGTCCTGATTTATAGTGTTTGCCAATTTCCATGGTGTAAATACTTCCACTGTGGCTGACAGCAAGCTCTGAATGTGATGTCACTGAATGCAGAATTGGGAAGAGATGTTCATAGTCGATTCTTTTTGAGTTAGCATAGGTCACTCTATGGGCCACTGTGAAACTACAATTTTCCATTAAAAGTTCTGTTCCATAAATATACAAAGGCACCAGTGAAAGAAAAAATATGAAAGGAAAATAAAATAAATTCAAACCGGAGTGTTCAAATGGAGAAAACTGACAGATTTTTTTGAAACTTTGAGAAGTGGTATGTCATACTACCTTCAGATTTAAAGATTTCTTGGCTTGAATTTCATTAATAAAACTTGTCAAATTAATTATTGGAAACTCATAGGGTTGGATAATATATATAATATTGGAAAACTGAATAAAAGCTTTGTTTGTTGTTATGGAATCATCTCCGAGGCATATAAATGAAGAAAGCAAGTTCCAGAGAAACTAAAAAGACATAGAAGCGTAGGTCAAGGAGCAAGTCCAGGTTTATATTCGCAGTGACCCCTGCTCATTTGCAGATGAAGAGAAATGGTAAGACTAGTAAATGTGGATCATTTTCACTCTCTTCCCAAAGATAAAGCTAACACTTTTCTGAGAGCCGAATAATTGGATTTCCATTTAGGAACTTCTGGGAAAGAAGTTTAAAAAGAAGTTTAAAGAAGTTAAATAAATCACTTTGAAGAAACATTCACCTGGAATTCCAATATGAACTTGTTTGTGTGAGATGGTAATCTTTGTCTCTTGTGTACCATAGAAAGCACCAAATGAGGGAGAAATCTATTAAATATCATTTAAACAAAACTAAAGACAGATCTAAGTTTCAAAAAATTGGGGCTCAGAAGCTGCTTAGCGGAAGTGAATAAAAATGTGGCCCTATCACAGTGGATTTAGAAAATATACTTCCTGCAGATAAAGACACACGGGGAAGTGACAGACACATCTCTTGCACATATCAGGAGCTGAAGGATCTGGGTGGATGGGATGGAGATTGAATGGAAACTAGATGGGGGTGGGGGAGGAAGGGCAATGAGAATGCACTGTGAATAGCAAGCAGTGGCAGATCTCAGAAAACATCTCCTCAAACCATTAAAACTCCCAAAGCAAAACAACACCCACCTTCTGCAAACAGACAGGAAAATAAAATTAACTCATCCCTGAGACAAATAAAAAGTAGCTGATCCAGCATCAGTGGGAAGATATAATTAAAAAAGCAAAACTTGGCCCTGGCCGGTGTGACTTGGTGGTAGAGTGTCGGCCCCCCCACTGAAGGGTCGTGAGTTCAACTCCCAGTCAAGGGCAGGGACCTGGGTGGCAGGTTCCATCCCCCCCAGGTTGGGGCGTGTGAGGGGGGTAACCAATTGTCTTTCTCACATCGATGTCTCGCTCTCTCTCCCCCCCTTCCTCCCTCCATAAGAATATCATGGATTTCTATAAGCTATAGACTGAAAATGGGCTACAAGTGATCTAGTTGCAAAGGCAAATAATGACTCATTAAACAACAATAGAAAAGTCCCCAGTTCTAAAAGAACAGGGTGTTTCATTTCCCCGAGAATTTGCTGTCCGAATAAACAGCCATCAGAGGGAGCTCTGGCTGCAGCTTGGACACAGCTATGCTGCAGGAATTGATCATGTGAACTGGGAACTCCAAGTTCCTCTCTCAAACTAAACTCAAAAAATAAGTATCCTTGAAGATCACCGCTTCGTATTTCTGAACTAGTGAGACCAGACTTGCTTCACGGGGCGTAGGAGCGGTGCCGACAGAGACGAAGCTGGGGCCAGGGAGAGGCGCTGGGTTCGAGCTCCAGCCACGGCCTGAGCGCAGCCGCCGCGTGCCCGCCGCTCAGGGCCGCCC